GAACTCCTGACCTTGAGCAATCCGCCCGCCTCGGCCTCCCAAGAGCTAGGATTACAGGCGTGAGCCACAGCGCCCGGCCCAAATGCCTGTTTAAATGTTTGTGGTTATGAAGTTCCAGAATGCCTACTTCTACTGTTTGGTGGTACCCAAACACAAAACCAGCTTCGTGATTTGGGATTTGGCAAAAGCAGTATAAAACAATTCAGTCTGAACTGTGCCCCAGTTAGTTTCTATCAGGCATTGTGACACCTAGATAAACTCCAAAGTGTGAAGCAGCTATATAAGTTAGCATAACTGGCCGGGCGCAGTGGCTCACGCCTGTAATCCTAACACTCTGGGAGGCCGAGGCGGGCAGATCGCTTGAGGTCAGAAGTTTGAAACCAGCCTGAGCAAGAGCGAGACCCCGTCTCTACTATAAATAGAAATTAATTGTCCAACTAAAAATATATAGAAAAAACTAGCCAGGCATGGTGGCGCATGCCTGTAGTCTCAACCACTCACGAGGCTGAGGCAGGAGGATCGCTTGAGCCAAGGGAGTTTGAGGTTGCTGTGAGCTGGGCTGATGCCATGGCACTCACTCTAGCCTGGGCAACAAAGTGAGACTTTGTCTCAAAAAAAAAAAAAAAAAACAAGTTAGCATAATTTAGTGATTATTTGGAGGCAGTGAAATTGATCCTGGATTGGAGGCTTGCTCTAGGAGCTGATGCCTCTGAGATAGGAACTGTGAGGGGGTAGGGGTGAAGGTTTGGCAGCGATTTCAGTTTTGAGGTACCTTTTAGACATCATGGTGAGAGGAACATGTACAAAGGCAGGGAAGGGAATGCAGGTGGTTATCTGGGGCAAGTTCAGTCCCTTCGTCATACTAGCCACGTTTCAAGTGCTCAGTAACTACACATGGCTAATGGCTTCTGTAATCGGACAGTGCAGATATAGAACAATTTCCATCATTTTAGAAAGTTCTGTTGGTCAGCACTGCTGTAAGTTAAATGAACAGGCTCCCGCAGCGGTCTTTTCCTGTTTGAAGCATGGAAGAGAATTCAATCTAGCGATGCAGATTATGATCGAATCATGTAAAAGCCATGAAAGTAGGTGAGCTCCTCTGTGAAAGTATGTCAGGCATCAAGGGAGATAAGCAGAAGATGTGCAGTGTTTAGGGAGGGGGGGAATGGAAGGAATTGAGAATTACTGAGTACCTGCTGTGTAGCTGGCATTTTATATATAGCATCTCATTTAATAAAAGGAAGATGATAGAGTCAGCAAGGTTAAGTAATTTGCTGAAGGTGCCTCAGTTGGTAAGTAATGAAACTGAAATCTGCCTTCAAAACCAGTGCCCAAGAGAGGACATCTGGGGAAAAGAAGCAGCAGAAGCCCAGAGAGGGAAGGATTTCCAGGAGAGCACAGTCAGAGAGATGGGAGAGATGGCCGAGAGTTACAGTAACCATCAGGAAAGGCACTGAAAATGTTCCCCATGCATTTGTTCACTTCATGATCACAGTAACTCTATGAAATATTAGATAAGGAAACTGGCCTAGAGAGAAGAGAACTAAGAAGTGTCCCTGGGGTTGGACAACCAGGAGGTTATTGTTCACTCTAAAAAGAGCAATTTCAGAAAAACCAGGAGTGGGGGAATCTCATCCAGACCAGTAGCTTGGGCCTTAGGAGGACCTCACTGTGTGAGGTTCAGTGGTGGTAGGAGAGGCTGCCCAAGGTGAAGACACTTGCCATGGAGATCAAAATGTTATATAGTAGGCCAGGCATGGTGGCTCACGCCTGTAATCCTAGCACTCTGGGAGGCTGAGGCGGGCGGATTGCTCGAGGTGAGGAGTTCGAAACCAGCCTGAGCAAGAGCGAGACACCGTCTTTACTATAAATAGAAAGAAATTAATTGGACAACAACTAATATATATATAGAAAAAATTAGCCGGGCATGGTGGCACATGCCTGTAGTCCCAGCTACTCGGGAATCTGAGGCAGCAGGATTGCTTGAGCCCAGGAGATTGAGGTTGCTGTGAGCTAGGCTGACGCCATGGCACTCACTCTAGCCTGGGCAACAAAGTGAGACTCTGTCTCAAAAAAAAAAAATGTTATAGTAAGTTTCCCTTGAGGACATTATACTAAGTGAAATAAGCGACGCACAGGAAGACAAATACTGCATGATCTTACTTACATGTAGAATCTAGAGTTGAACTCACAGAAGCAGAGTAGAATGGTGGTTGCTAGAATCTGGGGAAGGGGATGGGCAGATATTGGTCAAAGGGTACAAGTTTAAGTTAGGATGAGTAAGTCTTGGAGATCTATTGTACAGCACGGTTATTACAGTTAGTAATATATTGTATACTTGGACTAAAAAAGCACTTTATACGTTTCCCAAAAATTATCAGCCAAGAAGTACTACACAGGTAGGTAGGTCTAGAGTACTAAATCAGCCTGCTGGCCCATCTCACATTGTTGTTCAGTGTCCTGTGGGGCGCGGTGGCAACGCCATTCCTAGATGGCGCCCGCTTCCTGGTCACACCCTACTGTGCGTCTGACAAACAGATGTTCAGCACATGTGCAAAGCCTTGCCTCCTCTCCTGTTCTGTGTTGACCAATCAGGTTATGCCCCGTGTACTGACTGTCTATATAAGCAGCCGCCGAGAACGCCTCGGCGTCTTCCGCATGTAACCAGCTAAGCAATCCCCATTAAAGCGCTGTCAGAAGAACTCCAGTTGCCGTGTCTTCCTTGCTGGCGAGGGGGCGCGACAGTGTCCTAATAAAGCACACCTGCTGCTTGAACTGAGAGTTTCAACGCTTATTGGTACCGATATGAACAATTCTTAAATTAAAAGAATCATAAAAACTACATGTTACAAAGAACAGAATTAAAATAACAATTGCAAGCTCAAAAAAAATGTTATAGTAAGTTTCGGGAGGCTTTGCCCTAATTTTTTCTTTAAAGTGTGAAAATATGTTTATATTATCTTATCATTAACAGAATTTGGATTATAATCGCCACCACTTGCTGGTTTGGGATGAACCAAAGAATAAACCATGTGTTCATCTGTCTGCCCATCCTGTGTCCATCCATGCATGCATGTAACTTTTCCCCCAGTTGGTATATAATAAGATGTGTCTTCCATCTGACTCTTGGAGCACAATAGTAAAAGGGATTATTTCCACCAGAATGTTCTAAGACAGCATTCTTTTCCCCAGGGGCCTATCTTAATTGCCCCTTTGGTTTTCAAATGGTTCTCTTTTAAAGCACTTGCTGGGGCACCAGGCTAGTTTCCTTCAGCTGGGACTGTCCCAACTGCCAGATCCTTCTTGTCAATGGCTTTGCCAGGATTCAGGCAGTTCTCCAGTGTCGCTTTCCTTTGACTTCATGAGAAGCACCAGGCGTTTTTGCTAGATTTGCCTTTTCACTTTGTGTTGTGAGACCAGTAGTAGGGCTAGAATCTAGTGTTAAGATGGGAGGGGTGATTGCATGGAGTCATGAACTAGTCCCTAGTACCCATTTTTTTTTTTTTTTTTTTTGAGACTGAGTCTCACTTTGTTGCCCAGGCTAGAGTGAGTGCCGTGGCGTCAGCCTAGCTCACAGCAACCTCAAACTCCTGGGCTCCAGCGATCCTTCTGTCTCAACCTCCCGAGTAGCTGGGACTACAGGCATGCGCCACCATGCCCGGCTAATTTTTTATATATATCAGTTGGCCAATTAGTTTCTTTCTATTTATAGTAGAGACGGGGTCTCGCTCTTGCTCAGGCTGGTTTTGAACTCCTGACCTTGAGCAATCCGCCCGCCTCGGCCTCCCAGAGAGCTAGGATTACAGGCGTGAGCCACCGCGCCCGGCCCCTAGTACCCATTTTTGTTGTGTGGGGCACGGTGTCAACGCCATTACAAGATGGCGCCTGTTTCCGGCTTTGCCTAGGCAGTAAACAAGTTCAGCGCACGCGCAATTGTCGGTTGCCCTGTGGCGCAAGCATGCAAATGAAGGATCCTACTATGGACCAATGCTTTGGCGGCTCGACAGCTGAGCGGCCTATCCCAGCTTAGGGGTTGTGCTTCTAGGGTATATAGCAGCCTGCGTGCTGCCGGGCTGGGTCTTCCGCATCATGTAAGTCTAAAGGGAACCCCGTGAAAGCACTGTCAGAAGAACTCCAGTTGCCGCGTCTTCCTTGCTGGCGAGGCGGGCGCGACATTGTTGTCCTGGTGACTCCTGCTTGCCATCCTAATCTTGTTATTGTGGGCTGCTGAATGCAGGGTATAAGGATCCCTTGCCTATGTGTCTTCTTCTGTGCTGATCTCCCAAATCTGCAGCTTTCACTCTGCCCCCCTTGCTGCTCCCCTCCACCTGCACAGTGCTCAGATGGGAGAGATCCTCAGATGAGTCTCGCACTTGTTGTTTCCACTCTGAACAACTCCACCCCCATCCACCACTCACCTCTTCCTTCTAGTCCAACACTGGGCTCCCAGGTCACCACAGAAAACCTTGTGTGCCCCACCTCTCTAAGAGGTTGCCATTTGTCTCCTGGGTCTCCATCATCTCTATGTTGTGAGCCCCGGGAGACATGGGCTAGGTGTGAGTCTTCTTGATATTTCCCATATTTAGCTTCTAGTGGCTCATGGAGGATTTCATTCCAGCACTGTTGTTTATTGCCTCCCATTTGTCCATTTCATTCGTTTGCTTTCACTCCTGAAAACCCTTGCATTCTCTCTCCAGCCTTTGCTGTGTGTCTTTTTTTTTTTTTCCTGTTGCATTCAGTATGCATTTCCTAAGAGTTAGGGATATTCTCTTTCATAATCGTAGTGCCATTAACGGCATTAGGAAATTTAACAGTGATATAGTACTTTAATCTACCATTCATCTATTACTTTTGTCAGTTGACCCAGTAATGTCCTTTGTAACATTTTCCATCTCAGTATAAGATCCATGTGAGGATAAGATACTGCATTCTTTGTCATGTCTCTTAGCCTTTTGTAACCTAGAACATTCCAACAGCCTTTGACTTTTTTTTTTTTTTTTTTTTTTTAGACAGAATTATTATCCTTGAATGGCAACTGAATGCTT